ATCTTTTAGTTTATTTAATTTTATAACACTATCTCCAAGCAGGGAGTTTACACTTTGAACACTAGAGGGAGCCATTTTGTATCCAAAGAAGTGTAAAAAGACACAAGAGAGCCAAATCACGTAAAAACAAGAACCTTTAATACCTGATGTCACAGTGTTAGTGAGAATGGAGACAAACTGAGATGCTGAGTGTGAAGTTGTACAAAATGGATTCAAATATTTCATTTGACGACGCAGTACTTTGTTAATTTTTGACCAAACTACAATGTTTTCCATATGTATTTTGCTTACCAACAGCACTTCCTCTGATGACCCAATTTCTGTTGTAAACATTAATAACAAGCTTCTTTAAATAGACAAATTACATCATGGGGGTGGTCAAACAAAAATCAAAACCAACAAAGGGTAACAGACATGAAAATCATTAAAAATACATTTGCTGAAAAAAAAGTATAATATAGACATCTGCATGATGAGCTGGTTGATGCTACTAACCCAAAGATATTCAAAAGCTACAATATTGTAATATTTAACACSTAGAGGTCAGAGAAAATCATGCAGCTTCATCTCTTGACACAATAATATCTAATATATAAATTGCTGCTCTTAACCAAGCATTATGTGAAGGTTCCACCTTGAGCTTTTGTTACAAACTTTAACTTTCCTCTTGTTTAAAACCAGAAACCCCCTCTCCGCCCCTAAAACTTGTGCAGATGATTCATCAGTGTTGAAGTGCTTTTAGACCTTTATTCCAAGCCCTGATAAATAAGTGATTAAGCCATGTAAAACCGCAGTGATTGTAGTTTCTGCTGTTTGGCTCTTTTATCTGTTGCATAAAGCAGAGTCGATCAGCTCCTAAGTGTCAGCAAACAGGTAAAGGAAAATGTTTGTGTAAAAACATGGAAGTTTGTGCCTGCTTTGAGGTTTTGATTATGAGCACTTTGCAGTATTCAAATAAAAGCTGTATTTTTATGTGTAATATACAATATTGTAGAAAGCTTTCTGAAAAAACAGCTGTTTCTGTTTGCCTGACATCAAATTTTGGCTACACAATAAGACAGCATGTCACACAAATCACAGACTATACACAGAAAAGAGGAAGAAAAAAGTGTTTTCCACTCTGTAAAAACTGTTAGTACATTAATATTTGAGCTGAATGCACAAGCACTGACTGCTTCAGTTTACCTGACCTTCTTACCAAAATATTWACTTGGCACGATTGTCATAAAAAGAATGAAAACATTTGAAGGGAAGAAACTCTGAAAAACAAAATAATACTAAATGTATAATTATGTTCATCCAGGCGGTCACATCTATGAAACACAATATTACAATAAACAAATCTAAGGACAAAGAGAYGTTGGTCATGAACTGAAAACTTACACCAAAAATAAAGATATTTGCTGTAAATGGATTTTTTTATGGAAAATATTCAAATAGTGATGATGAAATCTTTTAACCAGAAATGATGACAGTAGATTTGACTGGCCTTACACATAAACATTTTGAAATAATGCTTTTAACAGTTTAGACTTTGCAAAAAAAGGGAGTCCTTGTGTAACGTTAAAGAACAAGAATTACAGAATAATCACAMCAAAATGAAAACTGAGGCTATAGCTTAAAGAATGAAAAATAACAGCAGCGACAAACTGTATGTAAAGGAAATAATAGGAAGATTTACTGAACAGGTCCCTGATTAAAGGAAAATTATAGGCCCACTTTCAATCACCTGAGGTCTGAAGGATTAATAGAGTTAAAGAAAATAGTTCATTAAATGAAATGTAGTTCAAATGTGTTTTTTTTATCGCTGTTGCTAGAAAACATAGATGGACTGTTTTTGTTAGTTTTTGTGTTTGTCTTTTAACAAAGAAAATATGAACCACTGGGCTAATTTGAATAAAACCAAGATAATACCTGGCTGTACATCTAAATCTAGCTACCTTTTAGAGTCAACCCAAACAAAGATGGCTGCCACAGACAACAGACCCTAAATAACCAAAACTGTATGAAACTTTTACTGATACAGATTTAAGTTCAGGTGTGAAGTAATAGSTGAGACTGATCCCTGACACATTATCTGAGTGCTGACAAACTGCACATGTTCTTGCTTTAACATTTTGCTATAAACTGTTTGGAGTCACTGGTTGTCTGTTAACAAAATATCTCAAGAAACAATCAGTGGATATTAGCTTTAAGGTTTGACTCTCAGTCTCCATGTTTTAAAATCTTAAAGGCAACGGCCGGTTGACAATCATTCCTTCTATGTAGCTACACATTTAATTATTTTTCTGCTTTTGATAAGTTGGAATTTTAGARCTGTGTCGACAGGCTGAACAGAGTTTGTAGATCTTATTTAAGAAAAGGTCAGTTGTTACAGGAAACCGACAGTCAAACTAACATGCTGGAAAATTATCTAAAAATAAAGCAAAAACAAATGTCCTCAGTAGGCCATGCTTTGCAAACCCTGTTTACATTCAAAGGACCAGTATGATTACTACCAGATAAACGTTAAGAAATAAATGCTTTCATAAGTGTGTTTCATGGCAGAAAAAGCTATCAAAACAGCAAACTGTAACATTTATAATCCACGTAAATCAACAGTTGTCTAAATACTGTTATAATGATATTTATTCAATCAACGTTGATGGTTATGATGGTTTCATTTCCATTTTTTTAACCAAATTAATAATTCAGACCCTGAAGAAAAGGAAATATAGACAATTTCCCTTTAAATTAAAGCCATATACTGTGTAAGCAAAACCTATTACCTTTAGTTTTTCTCAAAGCACAGTTAAGATATATACAGTATARAATGCTAACGATGATGTACAAACTTGCATAGATAAAGTGTTACAGTCCAGAGCAGCACATTGGAGCATGCTCTTGTATATTTACCCTTTTAGACTTTTCTGYCGTCCCTACGGGGAGTAGCTGCTTGTTGTTGTTGTTGGGCAGTACATCCGCCAGGAAAACACACACTCTGACCACTAACGTATGCAAGTTTGCAAGGGTTTGTTTTTAGTCTTAAAAATAAATTTAAAAAGTTGAAGGTGGGATTGAAGTTACACTTTGGATCAAACACAATAATGGCTGAACCGATGCTGATCAGCTCTTCTTAAAAAGGCTTTCAAAATGCATGCACACCATTTAAGAATGTTGTTTTTTACACGACAGCTATGAAGAGTGTGGCGTATGGGAGACATCATAGAATCATCTGAAAGTAAAGGGCTTCACTTCCTGTCTGTGAGACTTGAATAATGCCTGAAGAACAAACTTTCCCTGGACTGATWAGATTTTGATGCTTTCTTCTCGTAATGCACACGGGCAGATTGCCTGATTTAGGCTCGTCTGGATTTAAGGCTAACTCCTGTTTGGCTAAACCATCACCGTAGGACTGAGAATAACAGGAGACACATCAGTTTTTAATGAATCATTGAAAAAAAKCTTTGATGGGCCTTTGATTTGATTACTGCTGGACATAAATGGGAGCCCCACTCACCATATAGTTTGATCAATATATGGAGTTTTTACAGTCAGAAAAACAAATAAGGGTATTAAGTGAAGGCTAATGGTAAAGCCCAGTCATTTATCACAAAAACATGTATTTTCTGATTTGAGTGGCAATCCTCTTTAATATTAATACATCTTTATTACGTCTGCTGGAAAAGACTTAAAAGTACAACACAGACATGACTCTTAGCACGGTTCTATTAAAAGCGCAAGATTATAAAACATTGACATCATCAAGAGGACGTGATGTACATGGAGCCGAGAGCGGCAGCAGCCGCTCAGCTCTACCTCAGAAACCCCGCTCAGTGTGCACGTGGACCAAGTGTGGTGCAGCTCTCCTCTGCTACTGGCTGAATCTGTGGAGCTACATGTGTGAGTGCGGTGTGTGTGTCTGTACAGCAAACCAACAAAACAAAGCAATAAAGTAGTCTTTCCTCAAGTGGCTCCTGAGTGACAAAAGAAACAGCATCTCCTAATGTTTCCCACCAAAACATGAACCAAAAGTAACGACCCCAACAGGGTGGCACAGACCTTCAGGACATCCCCAGACCCGTCAAACTCTTACAAACATGGACACAATGTTCGCTTGGTCTCACTTTCGCTCACCTTTGACCCTCGCACCTCTCATTAGAGGAAACTTCTAGACTGTCTTTCTGGCCTCCTCACGCAGAGCGATGAATCCCAAAGCGGTCGAGGCGGGGGTGCAGGCCCAACCCCTGATAAAATGAAGCTTTCCCAAAGCTGCCGGGAAAATAAGAATGGAACGTGGTGAAACGGGACAAAAATATGATCCTTGAAAGCGGCTCGACYTCAACTCTGATGCGACATTTAGGTCGGCAGCGGGTCGTCGTCGCCTTTGCTGCATTTGCACTTGCAGCAGAGGACTATGGGAGTGGCCAAGAGGAGAAAGGGGGAGGCGACTAGCAGGAGCAGGCCAAAGCCGGCAAAGATGCCTACGACCTGGGAGGAGACCACAAAAACAGCAAAAAATAAACAAACAAGAGTAAAAACAACTTTAGGTATAACTGTTATCAATTATTTAGAAAAAAAAAAAAGAAACAAAACTGATTGTACAGCTGTAAAGAAGCAACTAAAAAATTAAAAAATAAATAGACACAAAGTGTCCAGCAGAGGGCAGCCAAAGCATCACAACAACAGCTTCTTTCATCTAAATCAAAACCTAACAATAAGACAACAAATGTACTTGTGGCATGTGAAATGGAAGCTCAAGAAAACTAATTTTTCGTCAAATTTTAAATCACTCCTGCTCTAACAATACCACGCAACTCTCAAACCTAGTGGCACAAATAATAGTAAAAAAATCTGTTTGTGAAAAACCACAAAATAAACAGAGATTTATAATTTAGGCAAATGTTCTCAATATAGGAGTTTTACCCASTACATCTTAGTTTACACAAAAGTTATCAATCTGACACACATCAGACATTTTAGAGGCAGAAAAATAATATATTTTTTATTTCCTTTGAACTCTCCTTTAAAAGGTGCAACTCATCTGAATCACCACATGGGGTAGCCAGTTGCCTGCAGATTCAAACACACTACATAACACTTGAGTCTCATGTAAGAGGGATTTTTTAACAAAAAGAAAAAAGAGGTAATACTCAGGATGACGTGTTGGCAAGTTTATGCTTTTTAATGACAGACTGCTGCATTCCCTACTGTTATGTTTCTTTCTAAACAGTCTGCTATAGAAGAAGACACATTGTATAACGCACAGTTTGCTCTTGTTGACAAGTCTTGAASAAGTGTTTAAGTTTGGAAAAATGTTGTTCTTGTGGAAACATCAACAGGAAAAAGTTTCACTTTTTCATTTTTGTCTTCAAGGAGTGAAAAAGGGACACTTTCTTTGACGTAAAACAGCAAAACTGTGGTGAAATGAGAACAGCTGAAACAAACACACAGAGCTCAACTGTAATCACATGACTCAGTCTGCCCCACTAGGCAACACACACCAATATGTATGCTAATGCTGAGGAAACAACCGTGACGTGCAACGGCACGAATAGCTTCCTTTGCTAAATACTGAGGGAAAGAAACGGCAAGTGCATAAATGTTTAAACAAAATTCCAAATTGAGAAGATGAACGACGCCCAAAGTGTAAAATAAAATGTTAAAAATGTCACCAACACATTTTCATTACTTAGTTCACTTTCTGACTGTTAAAAAATTTCCACTAACATTTTATTGTATTTTTAGTTCACTGTCCTTATTACTTTTTACAAAATGTTAAATCTAAATGTTAAAAAAATCCATGTAAATATTAAATCCTAAATCTAAATGTTTGATGTCACCATCCTGAGACAAACATCAATGCACGCTGCTGCTAACGTTGCGAACGATAGTATTTAAAATTTAAACTCACAATGTGTTAATTGAAAACAATATGGATGCTACCTGTGGTCTGACAGTTTGATGTGCAGCTCAGACACCTGCCGCAACTGCGAGTTTGATGTGTTGTAGGGATACGTTAGCTGCGTTGGAGCTTTAGCTGTTGCACTTGTCTCAGGATGATGATGCTCTAACATGAGCTGAGCACCAACAGCAAAGTCTGCGTTCCATTTCCAAATACTTAAATATCATTTAACCAGCATTTAACTTTCAATTTAAGATTTACACATTTAGATTTAAGTTTCAATATTTACATATCTTTTAACATTTGAGTTCAACAATTAGTAAAATAAGCAAAATGTAAGAACAGTGAGTTAAATAACAATAAAATGTTAGTAGAATTTTTTAACACTAAATAATGAAAATGTGATAGTGATGTTTTCTAAACCATTTTTACAATATTTTTTAACCTTTTATTTTACACCATATACTTGATGCTTCACCATTTAAATAAGTAAAGACGCGTATCAAAGTCAATCTAATGTTATTTATTTGCAATATTTCTTTTGTTACGTAAAAGCAAAAAATAACCGTGGTTATGTAAACCTGTTCTAAAGGGGAGAAAATAACAGAAAATAACACTTGCTGCTGCATGTGTCTGAAATTGTTCTTCTGCTATTGTGTAGTCAGAACAAGCCCATCACAATATGGTGGTATTGGGGCCAAAACCAGAGAGAAGCATCACAAGGAAGCACGTTTTCTGCCACATGCTGCAGCCCAGCTGAGAAGAAGGGGAGACAACAGGAGGGTCATGCTGAGGGAGGGTGGCTGTTCTCACCTGTGTTCTGTGCCAGATAACAGACGCCCTGGAGTGGCCCAGTTTGTTCCGACAGGGCCCTTTGTCGTAGTGGATCAGCAAAAAGTCGTCCTGTAATAAACACACGCAGATGAAGACTGATCATTAGTTAGAAAGACGTGGGAGGCTACTCAGACTAAATCGCTTTTCAAGTGACCTGTGTGGTCCAGTTGTCTCTGAGGATTATACATCATTACTGGGTAATAAATCAGGATGTCAGTTTCAATAGTTTTGTAACAAATCAGGAAGTTCATTATATCTTTTTAATCAACTCTCTCACGAGTAGGCAGGCAATGCCTACATTCAAGGTTTATCACAATCTGTAAACACAGAATTGTAATAATAATCTGTATTTTCAGTACCTTTACCTTTATTGTCCCCCCAAGGAGGGAAATTTTATTTGCAGCCAAGCATTTCCAACATACAACACAACATATAATACATAGACAGTGTCGAAGCATACAAGCAGCAATTTGTAAAGGTTTAAATAAATTTGAAAACTATAAATTTTAAAATCAAATAATCTGATTACTCTGGGTACAAAGGAGTTCTACCATCTGTTACTCTAAACTTCCGTTTTTGCCGCCAGGGATTCCTAACTTAGGCAATGTTAAAAGCATACAAACTTAAAAAAGCAGCCAACCGTAAATTTACAGATGAGATTTAAAAAATACAATTCAGAAATTTTAAAACTACGAGTTTAAAGATGATGACGTTGATGTTTAATCAAGTATCAAGTCAACAAATGTGATCGAACTCACATCCAAGGACTCCAGACAGTACCAGCAGAAGGCATGTTTGCAGTTCTTGCACATCATCTGTGCGCAGCCCTCGTCCCGCTCGATGTAAACTTTACACTTTGGACAGCGTTTAATAGGTGCGTCATCGTCTTCATTCTTAAAAAAAGAGCTAAGAAGATGTAGGAAGTGATTAGTGATTCTCTAAAGACACTGTTTTTTTTCCTCCAACTGTTCACAACGGTTAAACCAGTACCTGTTTTCTCCTGGTAAGAAGGAGGCGATGGGCAGGTTGCTCTCCTGGCAGGCCTGTCCCGGGTGCCAGTTGGCCTTACAGGCTGAGCAGAACTCCAGGGCACACACAGCACATTGGACCAGCTGGGGCAAAACTGGAGAATCGGATTCCTTAAGCTGGCATACGGCCTGGCAGGTCGAGGAGGGGCACCATGTCCGACACGGGTCCAAGAGCACCTCTGATGGAATAAATGCAGCCAAATTATAGAAAGAAAAAAACAAAAAACAAAAAAAAAAACAAAAATAAACACAGAACAGCTCAGTGAATGGATTATTTTTTAACATTCCTCCTAAGGTATGCATGACATAACAAGAAAAGGGAATCTAACAATCTTTTTGGTGACTTTGATGCACATCTCATATACATATTACTCTCCGAATTTTTGTAATCAATCAAATTTATATCTTCATTATGTGGAATAAATATGTTCTGAATGGTGCCTCAGCAAAAAAGTTGTGTGATAAAATCCCGACCCAGGAACCTTTCTGGATAGTTTGCATGTCCTCTCCATGCATGCGTGTGTCTTCTGTGAGTACTACGGTTTCCTCACACAGACCAAAAACATGACTGTTAGGTTAACTGGTAACTCTAAATTGTCCCTATGTGTGAGTAAGAGTGAATGGTTTTTTTTTTTTTGTCTCTTCTTGGCCCTGTCTTAGACTTGCAATGTGTTTTGGAACTTTTGAATCACTTTTCAAGAACAAAAACTTTTTTTCCAGGAACTTTACTTTATTTTTATAGGAATCTCTGTCTTTGTTTTTGTGCTCTTGCTCAATGATTAATGCCTGAAAGTGTGATGTCTGTGTTTTATTTACAGTTTACCCCTGTGTAGATAGAAAGCCTGCAGGGTGTGGGCCATCAAAGAGTGATTGCACAGCTTGGTTCCTGTCGGCTTCTCAAAATTATAAACTACGTTGACAGTGTGGAGCAAAATAACACAGATGTGATGTTATCTTAACTGCACAAATGAGCAAAGTTAACATCAATTACAAGAGACAAAAGGTGCAGGCGTCAGATGTGTGGTGGCAAAAGTATTAGTGAGATTACAAGAACCTAAAAGTCTTATAAAACATCTGCTTCAAACAAGATTCAACATTATTAATTTTTGGCTGRAAAATTAACTGCAGCAATAATTTGATCTCAATCAATACAATTTACAGATCGAGTTCAAACTATTTAGTTTCTACATCAAAAATTAGGCATAGAAAACTTTAATGGAAACTAAAATTTAGAGGCAGAAAATAATCTGGTGCAAGCCTGTCCTCAGCAGCTGATTCTCTCCAGTCAGGGTGAATTTCCTTTCAGACACACGTGTAAAGCACAACTGTCGTCATCCTTTTGTGTGTCGTCGTTAAAAACACAGCATCTCTTGAGGAAAGTTCACGTGTGCACAGTCATAGCCCACAAATCTCCCACCTGAAACCCGCAGCTGTCATTGACGCACTACAGCTGCTTTAACACTGACTCACCCCTCTCAAACTGGAGCTTTTTGTACCTCTGCATCATCTCCGTAGCCACCATGCACTCAATCTGCAGAGAGGGAGAAGAAAACCCAGCATAATTAGAGACAAAATCTGTAAGAAGCAATTTTATGTTCATCAGTGAAATTATACTGGTCGAATTCTAATTTCAACAACAACGAGCCTTGCTGCTTCTTCGCCTGTAAGTGTAAGGTCCCTGATTTGCATTTTCACAAAGAAATTCAAGCACTGGGATGTGCACAAACAAGTTTCCTTTAGGGGTGTAATCATTGAATGGTCCATGAAACGAACAATCGGGCTTTGTAAAAGACAATCTATTACAAGGTGAAGACACTGCTGACAGACCAGAAAGAGATGAGACTGTGGTGACTGGCAGGGGTGGGTAAGGTTTCACTAACAGTCAGTAATACTAATTGATTCAATATGTCTTGCTGCGATGAGCAGAACTAAGACGAGTCAATGCTAGGGAGCAAAAACTGCCGGCAGGAGGAACAGGAGCCATTTCCAGGTAGGATAAAGAGAATTCTATGAGTACATCTTTGTGTGAAAGGGAAATAAAAGTAAGGCCGCTTGGAATAAGACAGGCTCAATATGATAAGTAATGGGTCTAAATTGTGCCTAACACATAAACGAAGCAGTTCTTCATAATGTTTGTGCACGATTGTGTGAGAGTAACAAAACAGGTTCTGTATATAAAYTTTGCTCATATGTGAAGGACGAGAATCCAAATGATCATCAGGACAATGTATACTTGGCACAAAAAGTAAGGAAATTTGTGATAGATTATTTCTTTGTTGTAACCAGAGGTGTATAAAAACACCTCAACAGAAAATGACTTTGGTAAAAACAAATTTCACTGACAAGAAAAGTACAGTAAAAGTCATTAAACTGTACACAATAATCTGTGTTGAATTTACTTAAAACTGGTATAGGATTCAGATTCAGATTACTTTATTTGTCATTGCACCATTAAGTACAACGAAATGCAGTTCGGAACAACCCATCCAGAAGAGAGACAAATAAAAACAAACATGGGAGAACAGAAGCCCGGGTCCTGCAGCCATACAGGTGCTACCCTAATATAGTATAGGAGCCAATTGATATAACGTGGTTAAATAAATTCAACACTTAAAWTTTTTGGAGTTCATAAACAACTCCTTTCATGATAAGTTCTGGTCATATTTGTAACGTGTAACTAGGTGTTAAATTTTAAAGTAAAAGTAAAACAAYCATAACGTTTGTGTTTTGAATGTAAGGAAATAAAATAAAAGTTACAATAAAAAAAACACTTGGTAAAATTACAGATCATTGAAAAAATTACTTAAGTATTGTAACTAAGTAAATWCTTTGTTATCATACACCTCTGGTTGTAACTTAAATAACACACCTGATAGGCAGCACCTGGGAGTACTAGAAGTTCAAAATAAGTGTCAATAGGAACAGTAAAATAAGTGGTTTGGCAATGACAGAGAAGATTTGGCAAATATTGCATGTGTGCAACACACACACTTRGCTCTACTGCTCATCCCACAAATGCATGTTCCTTATAAATGTGGCATCATTTAACAGAGAAGTTGACAGGTTTTCCAAAGGTACAAGACTCAGTGCCAAGAAGCATTGTTACAGTAAAGTCTACCAAAATGTTCTTACTTTTTGAGCTAAGATGAATTATCTTAAGTATACCTCATTTTCTTGCAAGTGTCCTCTTTTGGGACAGGCAGAGTCGGGACAGCTAATTGCAGTTTCAAGGCCTTCTTTAATCAAGAGCTCCACATACTGCTTCAGGCACTGAAAAGAAGAAAATAATAGGAATTTATTACAATATCCAGCTAGTCAGCTCAATGCAAAACAGAATAAATGAAAAAACTAAAACACAGATTTAACAAAAATGTAAATAAAAGCTAGTCCGTCTGTGACTTTGTGCTCAATATGTGGTGACAAACATTTTAAAAGACAAAATGTTTGCTTCACATGGTTTGAACATGTTTGCTGACAAACCCACAGCCTCTGTGGGAAAATTGTTTCAGCTCAAGCATTAAAAGGCTTTACATAACCAAACTTTATATTTGTGGGAAAAAYGCATGCCAATTAAATATTAAATGTCAAAAGCTCATAAAAAGAAGTTCAGATGTTTTTGTCCTTCTAATGTTGCTCCAATCTGGGATAAATTATGTTCCCTGAACTTTGGTTAGCTTTCGTCACCACCCACTCTGTGCTTCAGGAAGTCACAGCTATTTTTAGTACCTATTTGTGGGTTTTTTATTTCATCCCATTTTATTTGTCTCAATTCTTCCATAAAATGAACATAAGATTTGTAATGAATCCATAAGACTGTGCTTATTCGAAAAGTTAAACCTATTTTATTGTATAAAAACACACTTTTTGTACTGCATATTAGCTTGTAATGTTTTGAAATACATTATTCTCTTTAATTCTTTTAGCTTTGAGCTTGTTTTGAGMGTAGTATGTGTTTTTGTACTTTGTTGACAGCTGAAACAAGTCTGTTGTGGGTAAGTGGAAACTCACCAGTGTACAGAAGACACATTGGCACTGTGTGATGGTGGTCATCTGCTCCAGAGGGAACTCTCCAAGGCACAGTTTACAAGAAACCAGGGGGTCCACGGCCAACTCCCATGTGGGACGGTACCGTGCCGTGGTCATCTTTACCACCACAGAGCTGAGAAGTCCGAAAGAAAAACTACAGTTAAGGATTTTTCAGAATAACAAATRATTTAGCCATCTTCCATACCAAAGTTTGAACCAAGATCTCATGTTATCAGAGGACTCTCAGCTACTACCATACCAAATTTTAGGACAATATCTTTAAATCATGACCAAAAAGCCCAGTTTTTTGTGTACATAATTCTACATTTGTTTTTTTTTTAAGTAGGGGTCACCAGGGGGCGCTAGGGGGGCCTCAGAAAGATGGAGGGAAGATAAGAAAAAAAGCTAAAATCATAAACTTCAATCTACATAATGTTATAAAGCATTATTTAAAACTGAATCTGTTGTTCAATCGTTTAAAAATATAATTTACCATAATATGTTGAAATGTTATGAGGRAGGTTTGTTTTCTTTTGTTCTGTARGTATCGTCAACAGTTTGRTAAAAAGTTGTTTTTTCAGTGGGAATATAATACAGTTTTTAAAAGATCTTAGTTATTAAAATACACATGTTWAACAAATTTAATAATTGTTGATTAGTGAATGAAAGTGAGAAAAAAAACATTCTAAACATGAATGTCTCTTTAAATATTTTGTAGCATTGTTGCCAGAAACTAATGCAGTTTTGTGGGCTATTACATGGAGAAGTTTGTGAACCCCTGCTCTACATAAAAGTCTATAATGTWCTTTCACAGAATCAACCTGGCTGCATGAGAACAGAAGTGATAATGCACTGTGAGTGGTGTCTGGTGAAAATCTACACACTCACAAAAAGAACCTCTATATGCAAACTGACACCAGCTTTCCAACATAAACGGCCGATGTCAGTGGCGTTCAGCTTTACTTCAGGCCACACGCTTTGTAGCATCGAACAACAGATGACAAAAGCTCCTGAAAATCCRGTGGCCATCCATGTCAGCCATCTAAGCTCCACTGTGAAATTTTCACTCTGAATTAAGTAACATGACATCAACTGTGTGTCTCTCTCCGTCTCTTTTGTGAGAGGCAGAACGGGTTATTTTAGGCCGTCTCGTCTCACTCGGCAGCTGAGAGCAAAGAGCACCCACTCGACTGTTTACAGGAAGTGGCTCTGCACACACCGCGTCAGCACCATCAAGCTCTCCCCTAGCTGCTTAGCAACCAGCTAAAGGAGAATTTTTAGAGATGGAGGGAGCATGTTTGGGGGAGGAAATGGGAAGCAGAAAAAGAGAGTTCGCAGTTTGTTGTCAATGGTCGCAGTCTGTCTCAGTCYTCAACTGCCTGTAGGCAGACGGGAACAATGGTCGGGCGGAAGGGTGGGGGCGGGGGGTTCAAGAGTTCATCGAAGCGCTCCATGAACTTGTGCCTTTTGTCCATGTGCTACCAAAGCAGCACATGCAGTGCAGAAGCTCCGTTCTGCGGGTGCTGAACTTATAAACTAAAACTTYAATGACAGTTTGGAGCCAGGGACTTGCAAACACATTCCTTGAGGGGGTGGGTGGGAAGCTGAGGGCATTTTTTGTCATAAAGAAAAACACAAACAGAGTTTCAAAAAAAAAAAGTCAGGATGTTGTGTAAAATGTAAACAAAAACAATTTTTGGAAAATTAAAGTCATTTTGAATTTTACAATAGCAGCATACGTCAAAACCACTATGAAACCACTCAATATTGATCTCTAACCTTGTCTTTTGCACAAAGAATTTTTTTCAAAATCTTGACATTTTTATATCAACTGTGACCGATGGAATATTCAAAATCAGCCTCATTTCTGTTTAGAGACATTATTATGATTCTTAGACATTGATGTTTGCCCATATTTACTTCTGAGACATTCAGATTTCATTATTAAACTACACTTTTAATGTTGTTTTATATAGTGTCTTAAAAACACATTCAGCTGGGGTCTACATAAAGTCGAACTGGAATGCTTTGGTCTGAATTCCACCTTATTGTAACTCCACAAGCCCCTCTTTTACCCCTTTTCTGAGATGTGTCTCAGATCAACTCGTTTTGAGGCTGTCTCTTTAAAACAAAAGGAGGCACTTCACACCCCGCCCCCCTCAGTTTCCAGAGCGCGCCACTGTACTTTGAGAGAAGGTTTACATGTTGGAGTCAGAGTCTGACCTTGAGTGGGAGGGAAATGAAGATGACAAAATTGTAGTTGTTAGGTTTGGATCTAATTTGGCAATTATGTTGCAAATTCTGTGACCTCATAGATTAGACAACATCATAGACAACAGAAAAAATACTCATTGGGTTGAAAAATATGATCCAAACAGAATATACACTCACCGGCCACTTTATTAGGTACACCTGTCCAACTGCTCGTTAACACTTAATTTCTAATCAGCCAATCACATGGCGGCAACTCAGTGCATTTAGGCATGTAGACATGGTCAAGACAATCTCCTGCAGTTCAAACCGAGCATCAGTATGGGGAAGAAAGGTGATTTGAGTGCCTTTGAACGTGGCATGGTTGTTGGTGCCAGAAGGGCTGGTCTGAGTATTTCAGAAACTGCTGATCTACTGGGATTTTCACGCACAACCATCTCTAGGGTTTACAGAGAATGGTCCGAAAAAGAAAAAACATCCAGTGAGCGGCAGTCCTGTGGGCGGAAATGCCTTGTTGATGCCAGAGGTCAGAGGAGAATGGGCAGATTGGTTCGAGCTGATAGAAAGGCAACAGTGACTCAAATAACCACCCGTTATGACCAAGGTAGGCAGAAGAGCATCTCTGAACACACAACATGTCGAACTTTGAGGCAGATGGGCTTCAGCAGCAGAAGACCACACCGGGTGCCACTCCTTTCAGCTAAGAACAGGAAACTGAGGCTACAATTTGCACAAGCTCATCGAAATTGGACAAGAGAAGATTGGAAAAACGTTGCCTGGTCTGATGAGTCTCGATTTCTGCTGCGACATTCGGATGGTAGGGTCAGAATTTGGCGTCAACAACATGAAAGCATGGATCCATCCTGCCTTGTATCAACGGTTCAGGCTGGTGGTGGTGGTGTCATGGTGTGGGGAATCTTTTCTTGGCACTCTTTGGGCCCCTTGGTACCAATTGAGCATTGTTGCAACGCCACAGCCTACCTGAGTATTGTTGCTGACCATGTCCATCCCTTTATGACCACAAAACCTTACTAGCGTGGTGTACCTAATAAAGTGGCCGGTGAGTGTAAATATATCTAAGCAGCACTGCGAGACACTAAATTCAAACTTTCTGCACTCCAAGATACTCCTAGTACACAACAAAATACATTTAATGGCTAAAAATGAGGGGTTTTGCATAATACAGTATGTCACCCTTAAAGTAAAACTGCTGAAGAACTAAAAAGATGACAGACAGTTCTATCTRTCCAACAAGACTCGACCTTGAAATGTAATCAGTGAACTGCAGCTGCATTTAACAGAGCAGATGCAGAACAGTTCAATTTAAAGCCTGGGGAKATGAGTCAACACTTCAGCACCTCCAAACTGTACAGCAGATGGCTGTTCCAGGAGAAACTTGAAATTGGTTAGTTTTTCTCCTTTTCTGTACACGGTGATTTAAACTGTGCAGAGTGAGATACTCTCAGGGTGCTTTCACACTTGAATCTATGTCTCCTCTTGCAGGCTTTCTATCAGTTTCGCAAATATAGCAACAGACTGGATCGATGGGAACAAATGAAACAGTTTCATACAGATGGCCTGAGAGAGTCAGAGAGTACGTGTTCATGTGAAGGAGGTGGATAAGTGGAATTTATTTCATGCATTATTAATAAGATGGTCCATTATATTTGAGAAGAAACACACAGCGAACCCCCAACCCCACCCCTACATATACATACAATGTGCAGGAWATTCTAAGTAATGAGGCCATGTACTGTATGTGCTCTCTGTCAGCTCATAGCCTCTCACAGCCTCATACGTCCGAACAGTTCAGGCAAAAAAAGAATAAGAAAAAAAAAATCAAAATCAATAATGTCAGAGGTCAAACATCCATGTTAAGTGGTGGTCACCATGTGTCACTCTATCAGTCAGAAATGGWTGCACTTAAATATTAACTGGCTTCAGCATAATTCATGCTCTAATGGCRCCACAGCCAGGAGAAATACACAGACATTCATTAACAATCCTCTGCATAATGAGTGAAAATGGTCAACTAGGAGTATGAWATGGAACGTCTTCCTTCAGCTAAATCAATATGATGCAACCCATTAGTGTTAATGTCAAAATACATTTCTTATTCAGTTTATTTTCTTATGGAAAAGTTTGTACAACTAAGTGACAGTTAAGGTAGTTCACCTGTCAAAGACTTGGGGAAAAGCAAGAGATATTTATTTATTAAARACCTTCAGTGTTACCCAGTAATGGCATAGGAAGAAAAAAATATATATAGTACACATAATTCTGTTTTGCAAACACAGGAAAAACTTAAACCAGGGGTGTCAAACTCCAGTCCTCGAGGGCCGCTATCCTGCATGTTTTAGAGGTTTTCCAGCTCCAACACACCTGATTCAGTGA